TCCTGCTGAGGAAGGAATATACTGTCAAAAAGTTCTTGACACAGGTAAAAAAAGCCCAAACAACACTATCACTGCCCCCAACAAAACAAAAAATCCCAAAGCAAACCAACACAAAACCACACAAATTTCTTCACAATGTAAGTATGAAGAAATTGGCCAAGCTGCCTGGTATCACTACCTAACAGTCATACAAGCAGAGCCTCAATGCAAGCTATGAAAGGGTGGGAGAAGAAAAGCAAATACATTTTCAGTGATGCCAAAGATAATTCAGCGCTGCCATGATGGAAGCGCTTTCCATTTCTTGTCTAGCAATTCACTGTTCATTTATGTTAGCAAGACTGTAGCTATAGCTTTGAAGGTAGCACAGATAAACCTTAAATACATGTCTCAAACATCAGAAAACAGGGCTTGAGTTCATATATGAGACACTACAAAGCCAACTGATGCCAGATTCAGTCCAATAATGTGGCAGAGGTAATTTTTTCTTGCTTCTTGACTCTGCAAGTCATCCTGCACATTACCACAGACTGACTAATTATAGAATTAAAGTTAACCCATTTAAAAATACTTGAATATTCATAGTAGTGTGACACAGCCTCATGTTTTCAAATGCTAAGTCAAAAAACAGAATTTAAGATCCTAAGTCTTCAAACCCATTAGTTTATTTAAAGCAGCAACACATTCAGCAGACAACGCTGCAGGCATTCTAAGAAGAAATATTTTGCTACCAAAACAAAGTAATGAATGAAAAAAATAATAGCACCTTATTTAGGCTTGGCTGAAACATACCTGCTCTTGCACTTGTAATGTTTTTTGTTCTGAAGGTTCTGTGCTTTCTGGCTTTGGAGGATTTGCATTATGTTGCATTCCAGAACTTGATACAATACTTAAGTCATTGATCTGATTCTGGGGGGAAAAAAAGTTTAAAAATTAACACAAGTACATGAGTTTTAAGGCTACATTTATCCACTACTATAATCCTGTTTACATGGCACTTTGACTGAAATACAGACAGTAAAAAGACACTGTGGAATGCACAAACTTTAGGAAGTAAACATAAGACATCCACCATCTGGTATGTATTCATACAGCTTTTACTATTATTATTAAAAAAAGACAATTAGCTTAATACTTGGCTCACTGAAATAAAAGAGGTAGGCTTTTCAAGTCCTTCATCTGTTATCTGCCAATGAGGAAGTTTACTATACTTCATTAGATCAGGAACCCAAACTATAAACAACTTAGAAAAAAATCCTGTCAGAAATCATTCTAAGTAACTGGAAAGAGAATTTGTCACTGATTTACTTCCACCAGATTTAATTAACCATGCACGTGTATTTTAAGAAGGTGTTAATTTGGTTTTCTGTTAACAAGGCAAAACACAGAGTTGCATTATAACAGGCAGTATGTTTACAGGTTGAGTTTCATCTTTAATGTACATATAAACAAAAACAGAAATTGTATTGCAGGTTAAATCACCAGTGAAAAATCCAAACTGTAGAACAGTCTAGCTTTCAATAGGTAAACTACACATTATGCATAACTTAATATTATGCACTATTATGCTTAGCTCAACATTAGCACAACACACAATGATTGCTCTGGTCACTTACCCACAGCAGCAAAATATGGGTTAAACTTTTTAGCAGCAAGTTAAAAAACAATCTGAGCTTCATTATTATCTTGTTTTCAATTTCTAAATTACAGCAATAAATACAAAAACAGGATGCATATTGTGATTTAGGGACAGAAGTGAGGAGCAACTTCTCTCATCTTTCTGACTTTTAGCCACTAACTTGAAGGTTAAAACTCAGTCTGAAATGCTGGATGCCTTGTGGTTACAATAGCACAGCTTCCTTGTCACTACAGGATGTTCCCATGCTCCTACTGAAACATACACACAAAACACCACACTATAAAAAGCATCCATTCATTTATAAATAATCTCAGAACTCATTCATTTTCACATATGGACTTGATGCAGTAAGCACTTGACGGATTAAGCTGATTTGGAATCCTGGATTAAATCACTTGGACCTTCATAAACCTCTTTTTCACTGTCTCTGCCCCCTTCACATGCTGACACTCTGCCAATCTTATGTGGGCTGCACACAAGGATTACTGTATGATCCATCTGGAACGTACCAGGCAGATAAGTACTTTCTGCTCCCAAATACAAATTGATATGTAATTACCAATTGCCATAAAATAATTAAAAGAAAAAAATTAAGACAGGAAAAAATCCTGAAAAGCCATTCTTAAATCTAGTTGGTTACCTAATCATGTTAACACTAACATACCTCAGCTACAAGGAGTTCCAAAATTATTGTGCCAAAGTTTTATTGCTAAAGCTGAGGTGATCAACAGAATATTCTCCAAACAAGTTTGCTTGAAAGGTGACCAACATTGCTCAATTCTGTTTATCTGGCAGCTTCTACACAACTAGCATCATAGCAGGCTATGGGATTATGTTCAACAGATTCTGTTCAGAGTTCCCATATGCATACACACAAAAAAGAAATAATTACTCTAGCTTCAGTAGGGGTCTAAAAGCATCAATATTGAAACATACGTAACAACACAACATCAAGACACAAAAAACCCCAATTACATAGTAGCTCGACTGCAGTCCATGCCCTGTGTATCTGCCTATTGTATTACAGGCACCACAGACATTGACCATCCACCACAAAACCCCCATAACATTGCCTGTTTGTCTACTTGCCTATAGAGCTTCTTCCATGATGCTTTGGAACTTTGTTTCTAGCAAAAGTTTTTCAATAGTCTCACATTAAAAAGAACTGCAAATTAGTAGAGGAGAAGCTGCAATATCCTGAGTAATTTTTAAGTGCCATTTGTGAAAACGTGTATTATCCAATACTGCAAGGACAAAGGGAAAAACACTTCATCACACCCCAAAAGGGTGGCACCACCAAAACACTGAATTTTATTTTTCTTCTTCCCAAAAAGCCTTAAGTATCTTCAAATCCATCTCAACTGATGTAATCTTGAAAGATGAGTCATTCAGGTTTTGATGCTTCCTTCTGTACCCTCACAAAAGCTGTTACTTCCATGATGCTGGCCTTCATACAAAGACACCTGCTCCCAAACAGCACTGATGCTCAGAGAATCAGAAGCAATTTATTTATTTTTAATCTGTATTTAAAGCATTGAAAAAACACTACTGATTTTCAAAAACTAGTATCTAGCCTGGGTCTGATATATTTTATGGTTTGTCACATTCACCTGCTCTCAATCTAAATCAGAAAGTGACAACTTAAGTTCACTCATACAGGACTTAATCCATGTGTTCATTCTTTTCTCCTCATCCCACATTGTACTGCGACAATATAGAATGCTACAGACTCAAATCCCAAGTACTCAAAGGCATTCTACTGCACAAGCAAGCTTCTGGAAGGAATCAAGCACTGTACTAATGTGTTAACTCTTCTCCCACCAGTAGAACCACAAAAAACATACCACAGCTCTGTGATGTTATACTCACATTATTATTGCACACTCTTGTATTATTTCACTTGGGGAGAGGCACATTCAGAATCTTTGTTTCCTTTTTTGGAATATGCTCATCCTACATGTATAAATTTGGTCCTCAGGACTATATAAAGTAATTATTTTGTAAGATAAGTAATGTTATCCCTCATTACGTAAACTAGTGAATTTAGCACCACGAAAGATACTAGACTCCTCCTTCTGAAATACATTAATTTATTAAGAGGATAGACAGACAGTAGACAGGACAGAAGCAGTAAACTGGGGAATAAAGGGATAGTGGAACAGCATTGTTATACCTAGTCTATAGCTATTAAAGATGTTCTTCACAGAGTCTACAAATGTACTGAATGACTAAATCTCTAATCCCACAAGACTTCTTTTGAGACTAAGAGACAGATGCTGTTGGGTAAAATTTTTATTTGCTATTCCCAGAGAAAAAAAATTTCTCATAGCAGTAGAAATGGTTGTAAAATGCGTCTATCAAGCTACATTTCAAGACAGAACACATCATCAGTATTAAACCTATCTTGACTGACACCAAAGACTGTTCTGTAGTATAGTGTACTTGAGGGAGGGAACAAGACTTCAGTCTGAAAACAAGGCGATTGAAACAATGGCAGAGAATACCCTTTAAACAAAACACAGCTGTTGTGTTAAAAGCTAGCTTCCAGATAAGCTTTCTTAAAAAAGAGAAATAATGAAAAAGTAGGAAAAGAGTTGCCCAATAAGGTAATAATTGCAAAAATGTAACTTTTGAATTCATGCAAAAAAAATAAATAAATAAATTTGCAAATCCCACACTGTTTTAAAATACGAATTTTTCCTGACATCGCCCCTTCTCTCTAAGTCATTGTGCGCCTGTGCTTGTATCACAGACATGCCATAATTCACAAAGTTTGCAGGCTTTTATTATTCAACATGCCAAGGCATTTTATTGTGCAGCTCTGTGAACACTCTTGATTATGGCCTGAATCATGGCAGATTTCCTCCAGTGACTTACAGTACAGAGCAAAACACTCAAAGAAGTGTCAGGCACTATAAAGAACATTGACAATAATGTAACTTCACGATCACAAAACCAGACCTTTGGTGGTACATTCTTCTACTCTATTACATCTGTACCTATCTGTTCACATTTCTTTTGACAAAGATCTCACAAAACAAGACAGTAGATGAGTACCGAGACTAAGCAGTGTCTGCAATGTCTTAGAAAAATATTTTGTTGTGTCTGCATCTCCAGGTATCAATTTTAAAAACTGTATTTTTTTCCTCCCCAGAAAGTAGCAATTAAAACTTAAGACTACAGAGGCCCATTAAATTATGGATCAGGTGTACAACTGTTCAATCTTGAGTTACAGTGTATTGCACAGGACAATTTATTATGTAAGAATTATTCTCTACCATCCCTCTCTCAGAAATCACAAGGCATGCAATTTCAGTGGAATCATGAGATATCCTAAGCCCCTTATTCAGAAATAGAGTAAGTGTTTTTACTTGTTCATAGCATCAGGAAAGAAAAACAAAAACTCTCAGATGTTTCCTTACTCGTTCATATTCATCCTTGGCTTTACTAAGCATTTCCAGGATGTCAATGGGCCTGTTTTCATTGCAGCCATTGGTCCTGCTGGGACTTTTTCTGTCCTGGGAAACTTGCTGTGATCTCTGAGCTTCTTGTTCTACCACTCTGTAACAGGAAAGGAGAAAGAGGACATTAATATTTTACCTGGAGTTAACATAATGCAAAAAGCAGTAAAGTGTACTCCCAGCATATTAACACCTTGTGTCCTGCCTGAATACAAACCTAATGCATAGCTGACCAAAGTTTAAAAGTTTTCATTTGCTACACGGTTTATACAAAACTGTCAAATCACTGTACAATTTATTACCAATCCGGACAGCACTGGTCTGTCTCTCATGACATTTGCCTACAGTAAACACTACTTCTGTAAAACCATCATACTTGGACAGTTTTTCAATAAAATACACGGACATTCAAGCATGTGTTATATAAAGAGCACACATACCATACAGAGTAAATTACATTTTTACTCTTTACTTCCTAACATGCATTTTTTCTGTATTTACCCAAATCAAGCCATGTTATTGAACAAAATAAATTACAATACAGTTCTAATTTAGGATGAGGTCTATCATTATAATATAAAACAGAGTGGAAGAGAAAAGAGCTGGCTCACACCAGATGTCTCTGGAGTCAGTCTGCAAGAAGGCTTACTCCTCCACTTAAGGCTCTGGAAAAAAAGGCAAACCATTTTCTTCTGCAGCTGTCTTGTAGTCACTCCAATCACCTGCAGGTCTACAACACAATGTTTTCTCCAGCCTTTGATGCCTACAGTTAACTCACCACTTCTACTCCACTCCTACCTGCCTCAAGTACCAAAAACCTTCAACTGAAAAGACAGTTAAGATATGCAAGATGTGTCCTTGATACATTTAATTTAAAAAAGGCAGCATACACTTCTACTCCTAATCCATATGCAGTTCACAAGATATACACGGCTGTGCAATGCGCTAAAGCTTATCCTTTTGAAATAAACACACACCAGCCTGTAATCCCTTCTTTTTTAAGCCTGCATTAATGAAATATGTTAAGAAAAAACAAGCGCTGTAAACAGGGCAGAGCTCTGGAGCTGGCAAGTCACATGAAAACTCTCATGTTGTGGAACTGATGGCTGATGGGGGAGCCAAAAGGCACCATCATAACAATCACTAAAAGTGTCAATCATTTCAGGCTCCAGTTTCTTGGGGCAGTCAGGACTCAGGAGTATTTCTAGATTTTGTAGACTGTAATTAGATATTTATATATACCTGTATGAGACCATCTCTAAGGAAAAAACAAGTCGAGTCTCAGAAATTTCTTCCCAGTTTTCTAGCAACTAAACCCCTTTACTTCACTAGAGCTTAGCTGCATTTATTTGAAGAAGGGTTAGATGGCTTTTAAAAACTCAACATAGCTTTCAAAATTACTTGGAAAATTTTTAATCACACAAGCTGCATATTTAAACAGTTTATCATTATTAGTACAGCTTTCTGTTTGTAAGCAAGCACTCACCTGCAAACAGAACTTGGAATACAGAGGCCAATTGACACTGTCTGACAACTTCTAAGACCTGCAGCATGTGCTCATTTGGATGAAGCAGCTCAATACTGTACAAATGTTTCTATGGTGACACCCTGAGAGAACATTTTGTTGTAGCTCCCCACGTGGTAATATAGTCCTGACTTAGGACTTGTCTAAACTCAACTCTGGAACTAGGGATGAGAAAGGGCAAGATAAAAGAACCAGAATACTTTGAGATTTTAAGTGTCAGTGTAATTGTATCAGAAAAAGTAAGTAGTTCAGTAAAAGGGAGAAATCTAGACAGCTGAAGTCATGCATGTGCTGCCTGACAGGTGAAGCAAAGGCTTCAGTCTTGAGATCCTACTTCTGCTCTTAACTAGGTGGTCCAGAAAGTTTCAACAAACCACCTTCCCATTAAAATAGTACTAACTGATCACATAGCAAAACATCTTCAAGGACTACATCCATTTCACAGAAATGTTTCACAGAGACTTCTGAAAATTGTGTCATAATAGTTTTCAATTGTCCATTTTCAGGTGTTACCTTCTTAAATTTGGGTTTTTTTTTTAAAATAAAAATTATCTTCTCATGTAGATAACTCTCTAATAGCTATTCCTCCAACTTCTGTTTTGTGTAGATGACATTCAGATGGTGGTGCTGGAGTAGGTGTGAAAGAGGATCCTCACAAAACTTCCTGGAACACTCTCCCACTTTTAGTTTACTGCCTGGATATCAGAAGCCAGTTTAGGTTTTGACTGTTAAAACAGGGTAATAAAGCCTGCAAATTAACCTAAAAATAAAAAAAAACCCTATAAATTTATGTCAGAATGCAACAGTTTCACAAAGATTTGAAAAACCCTTGTTTCTGTCCTACTACTTCTAGAAAGCTCATCCCTCATAAACAATTTTGACTCAAATTAATTCCTGCTAAAGTTAGTTTGTTGAGTCCAGTAAAATTTTTCATTTCAGAAAAACCTAGAATTCTTTAAAATAAGCCAACAGAGGAGTTCTGTGAGGCAAATGCCTTTGCTGGGGACATAAATCAACTAATGCAAATCTGTACACTAAGCATGCTCCGCATGCAATCCAGGATTAAATCTTTTTTTAAGCAAGGCCTGCTGGTTTTTTTTGTTATATCAGATAGTGGAAGAGGCACACATTCCTTTGAGGACACAGTAGCTGCTCTGACAGTTTGCTTAAGCATATCTGCAGTTATAGCATTGAAAATATACCTGGCACAACCTCACAAAAGGGCAAGGGGAGGGAAAGGAGGGGAAGGAAGAAGAGGGGGAGAGAGAATGTGAGAACTGAAGTCTGTGATTACAAAGCCCACAAACACTAATTTACTTTTCTTTGGAAAGATAAGCCACCAAAATATAAATGGATGGCCTGCAATCTTGTTAACTCAGTCTAGCACAATAAGGTCAAGTCAAACAGCAGGAAAGGAGAATACAAATCTCTTTGAAACCTTTTATGGTTAAGTTTTTGAAGCACTGAGGTACTAAAAAAGCAGTACTCCTTCCTATCAGTGTTACAAACACCCACACCTAAATGTAAGGGTGCCAATCCAAATTTCCACCCAAGAAAAAGACAAAAAACTGTAGAACAAAATTGATACTCTGGGAAGACAACATAAATATTTATTTCAAAATATACTGAACTAAGCCTGATGGAGCCTACTACCATGTGTTGAAACACAGCTTTCCTTCTCTAAGATTCTATTTTTAAAATTAAAAAGTATATTTAAAGTTTTCTTGAGTACATCTTTCATCTCGGGATTAAACAATTCCTGCAATTTCAACCTCCTACGTGCAGAAAAGCACACAGAAGTATCAGCATTTTTATTTTTCTTCCGACTGCCTTCTACATATTTTGTGTGAGAAAAAAGTTGGTGTTTGTGGAAATGAATCTCAGCAAAATAGTATCAACCCACTTTTCATTAAGTTTGCAACTAAAGCCTCCAAAGTGTAGCTTTTCCACCCTACAGTAACATGTAACTATAATGTCTTAATTTCATTTTCCCTAATATGAATCTTTAGATACTCAGAAGCTCTAAGGCGTGTGCTCCAAGGTGAAGTGCGACTTCACTCTACAGCATTTTTAAAAAAATATACGTAAATATACTTAAATACTTTTCTCACCATGAAAACAACTGCAAATACTTGTTACCCCCAAAACAATACACAATTTAAAAACCAACTCACAAAAAACTAGAAGTATTCAGACTTTCTGTAATCTAACCATGAAGAAAGGATTTAAGAAAAAAGCACTCAGATAGTAAGACTTCAGGCTAGTGAAGATGACTTACACCTTTTTTAACCAAGTTAATGGCAGCCAAGACTAAAAATGATACTAAAGTGAGGTCCCAGCCAGCTCAGCAAAATTTAACTGTCTGCATGCTGTCAACATCCACCCAATAGATCTTAGGTGCACATTTGATTTCTCTAGTTTAACTTGCAGAAGTCTGAAGTGACAAAGCTCGATACGTGTTCCCCAAAGTCTGCTTGATGCATTAAGTGTAATTTCAGTTTCAAAGATACTTTTAATCCACAGTCATTCTAATACCTACCACAAAAAATGCCAACATTTTCAAAACACATTTCAGCTTTTTGACCTTTCAAAATAATTTGTAATCTCAAACTTTCTAGGGTGCCAAGATCCTCCCATCATACAAATGTGTATCTGCACCATAAACCATGGCAAAGCAATAATGCCAACTCTGGCACTTCTGCCTCTCTGTGTTAATAAAGGGAGGGGGGTAGAAAGGCAAAAAAAAAATAAAAATCAACTTAAACAACAGTCCAGAAGTTAGTAGAAAAAAATCCTATTATTTAACAGTTTTGTTTACTCCCCTAACATCTCTTTAATTCTGTAAGATTCTACTTACTTCTCCCACTATGCTCCAATGTTTCCACTGTAGTTAGGAATCATAACAAAGCCTTTTAAAAAACCCCAAAAAACAGCCCACCACTAAACAAATCACAAAACCAATCAAAACACAGTGGCCATCATTTATTTGTATACACTTTCTGCATCAGATGATCCTTTGCCAGTATCTCTATTCAAACTCAAGTATAAAATAAACAAACAGTGTTCACACTTGCTTTCTCTGGAGAATGTCAACTAATACTTCAGCTGATTTTGTTACAACTTAACTGAAAACTTCAATGCTGCAAATTTTTTTAACCCCCACTTCTCCAAAAAAGCCAAACCACACAACATTTTGATTACTAAAAAAATTCTATCAGCAAGAACATTAGCATTTTCTGCATAAGGAGTGACAAAAAAACCCGAAACATTTAAGAAATAATTTTTTTTCTATATTGCATTAAAAAAAAAAACAGAATAATAAGATCACAGTACTTACTTAGCCATGAGTTTTGCTATTCGATGACAGTCATTCTTGTCATAAAACCAGATACTGTAAATTGACACTTGGAAATAAGAAAAAAGCAAGTGTAAGACAAATGGTGAAAAAAAAAAAATCAAATCATTAGGAAAAAAAGAAAAAACCTCAGCAGTCCATTAGATCTGCAACATATGAATTGCCATCAGTTTTCACTCAAATATTCTGTGTGACAGATTACTATTTATAAAATAATCAGAAATAGCACATGTGCAAATAAATACAACTTCAGTCACATGAAATGCAAGAACTATAAAATGTTGACACTGTAAATAAAAAGTGGCAGGAAAATGAAGTTTTAACTACCAGATGCCTTTTCACTACAGTTACAACATTCTATTTTGAATTACTGACTTCACCATTTAAACTAGACTAAAATTTTATTTTTTTTAAAAAAAACACATTCATTTAAAAATCCATCAATTTTTGAAATTCAAGTATGACAGTTCAGTCAGAAGCTCTCTGGAATGTCCCTTCTCTAAATTTTCTTTATAAAAGAAGTAACTATCTAGGAAAGAGGAAAAGCTCCAATCATACTGTCACATTCATGGAGCAACTTAAAGTAAGATTCATATTGAGCCCTACTCTTTGAAAGCATCAAGTTCACAGCAATGAGAGCAAAAGGGTTCCCTCTCAGCAAGACACTGAGCCCCATTCTGGCTTTCAGAATAAGTAAAATTACACTGAAAGTTGGCAGATTTAGACCCTAATCACTGAGCTTAAATATAGTCAGTAGTGCCATATGCTATTCTTCATCCACAACCCCACTTCAGAGGCCATTTTTACCCACACATATATTCTCCTCTCTGTCCCCACAGTTGTGCCAACAGGACAAATCTGCAGAACTCTTTCCAACCCACTAAGCAGGTTATTTGAAATCTTGGTTCACCTGTGAGATCTGTCAGCACATGGTATGTAAATACACCAATGGCAACTGGACACTAAGTACATTACCATTACAATATTTTAATTCCTGAAGAAGACACTTTTAGCCTTTTTAAACTCTTCTTTATTCTGCAGTTCATGCTAATGTTTTTGTGAAGTTGAAATCACTAATTGATTAAAAAAATATGACTTAAAGTGAAGGATAGAAGTGTTAAAAAAAACATACAGCCTTTTCCAGCCAGATGTAGATGTTTATTTCAAGTTAAATCCTTCCTCCTGCCCCCCAGCTTTTTTTTGGCTTCTCAAAACACCCCAAAATCTCAACCAAAGCCCACTCAAAATTATTTCAAGCCATAGCCAAGAGGGCAATTATTAACCAAAATTATTTTATTAAATAACAACTATATTCCTTTGGGTGTTAGTTTCTTCAGATGTTACAGCTTAAGTAATAAACAAAGCTGTCATAAATAGATTAATACGGGATAATTTAAGGAGCTTTCTTCTTGCAAAATATATAAGCCAATAAAAATAATTTCATACATGTAGCCAATGCTTATGAAATGTTTATTAATATTTACTGTTAAATACAACTGAATGGTCTACTCCATAGAAACCTGCAAATGTTTCCAGTTTGAGCTACTTCTTCAGTCACGTAGTATATTTTAACACTGAAGAAAAGCTCTTTCC